TAGTATTCGTGGCTTGATGACTCTTGTTGGATGAATGATTTCTACAATGGCTATTGTCATTTCAACTGTGTTATAGATGTACGGGGCAACGTGCTACACATTGGGAAGACTGTCGTCTATAGTATGTTGTGAAAGTAGGCGGCCATGTCATCTCATTAAAGCTGGCTTCACAAGTATCGTACTGTACTGTTTTAACATTTAAACACTTTTTCATGTTGGTCCAAGTGTTCTATGCTGTCTCTTAACTGCATGGCTGTTGGAGGCCGTTCATAATGGTTGCATAATCATCTCTTTTTTCCATCATCGTTTGGAACCTTATATATCGTTACTGTACACACCTTATAAAGGGAACTTGCATTGTGGTCAATTTTTGTTGGTGGTATGTCTTGGGGTATGCTGACGGATAGTATGGTGTGGTAGTTTAATGTGTATGTGTGATACCTGATGTCTGAGGGATATGGGGGTTGAATTCAGGGAATTCCCGAGGAAGTGGGAATGTGTAACACAGACTCGTGCAGCTGTATTCCATTCTTATTTCTACACTCCCACTGATGTCCCTATAGCCTGCATGTATTCCCACAAAGTTATATTCACTTAGAGCGGTATAGCGCCCTCACCTGCAGGTGTTGTTGTTTACTTCTGCTAGTTTTAAGGTAGCCTCATTCGCGGGAGGCTCTGCTGGAAAAGTTAACTGCCTGTCGGAGAGGTTGGTAACAAACATGATAGGAACAATAATAATGGTGTCGTGGTGCATCACTGACCCATGAAGATTTCAAGTTTGATGTGAACCGGCGTAACTTTAAACAGAAAGGCGTTACATGGTTTATCGATTGTAATCAAACATTGAAACAAACAATTATTACTTTTAAGGCATTACAACTTTCTGCCTTGTGCAATTTATATTTTTTGGGGAGCGAGATTTATAGATTTTACATGTAGCATTTATTTATCCCGTAAGAAGCTTCGGGCATATATGCTATATATAAAATATCAAGTTGATTGCATCTGACATCGCAAGAGACAAATTTCCCTAATTTTGGTAATTGTTGTCAAAAATTAAAGATAGCGGTCAAACCACGTGACTGGTCAAATATATGTTTCAACTATTTATCATCGTCTCAAAAACGCGATGACCACTATAGAAAATGCGGCAGAACTGACCAATGATAATTTTGCTTCAGGACTGAGATTTATCAGTGGTTTTGAAGAATTTGATTTTGCAGGTTTTTCAGGAAAGGTCAAATGATCACCAAAGATTGTATTGCGAAATATTATAGCACATAAGACATCAGAAAATAGGAAGGGTCAAAATCGCTATTTCCGGTTTTTGCTAAATCCGGATGGCTGCCAAAGTTGATGACCAATTGCAATCAAAATACTGGAAGCATTTTTCTGTATGTCGGTATGTATGCCACGTTTCAGAAAGAATACCCAAAATGCACTATAATTTGATTAATCGAATAATTCTTGAGACGCAAACGAGCCGAAAATTAGTATGCTCATAGTAAATATCGCACAAATTACATTAGCACACAATGGTTTCAAAATAAAACAAAGAAAAAGTTATAGAAAGTTTTTTAATCTTAAAATGGTTGACATTCCATCATCTTGTATATGATCATCAAACGAGGTATTGCTCCGGAACAGCAATTATTAAAACAAAATGGCCGTAATTCGGCTATTTTGAATCTGATCAGAAAAACAAAATGACGTACATCAAGATCCTATAATGTCCAATGTATTTAGCAAGTTTGAACACAATCCATAAATCCATCTGTAAACAGCCGCGAAATGCTTGATTATGTTTTTTTTTCAGTATAGTATGTGTGAACTTTGAATGTAATCGGTCCAGGCATGTCTAAGATATAGGTACGTACGCACACACACAGGTGTAACCGTTGTTGTGACGCCACACATTGGATTAACGTTTAATATAGTTGAATTAACTTTTAATATAGTTGCGATATGAACTCGATTAAAACGCGTTCCTATTTGTTTGCGAAGCTTAGGTTTAGTAACGGAAGAAGGTATGGTAAAATTATATTAATATTAATATAAATTGAACCATACCTTCCCCCTTTAGTAAGCCTAAGCTTCGCAAACTTAAATATTAATATAAATTATGAAACATTGTGACTCCCCATGTTTGAGGCTCCACTTGTACAAAACTTGTACCACTTTGTTGGTGTGTATCCGGACCACTGGTTCCACTTCTACTTCTATACAAACACACGCACGCACGCACAGATACACGGACGTACGGACACGCGGACGTCAATCCATAGGTCATAAGTCAATACATATTCCATAAGACTAATACGAGGGACATAATCTTTCGGGCTTGGGCCCCAGCAGTCGAGTCGACTAATAAAACACATAACACACTTAAGCAATCGAACTCTTTACCCTACAATTTAAAGAATTTACATTGAAAAAAAACCGGACCTGGTTGAATACCGCACCTTGAATTGAGTGCTTTTCAACGTATAACCCAGTACTATGAGGTTATAACGAGAATACTGCAAAGAATGCATTAATAAGGCAGTACGGTGATCTTATCGACGGACGCGACATGTTCGTGCTAACCTCATTATCGTTGTAACCATGCCAACACATATATATTCATGTTATTTGATTCGTAACTGAACTTTATTTATTGATTTACGCATTGCTCGATTGTTGTTCGTACATTTTCGGTACATGTCATATCTAGTTACTATATTAAAGCAGGAGGGTCGTCACCTGCGCACGCGCTAAAAACTCAAAGGCTCATGGGTTGTAAACAATGACACGCTATGGCCATCTGACGCATGCGCAGGTGACGAATCTCCCACTTTAACCATTATTAAGCAATTAATATTGCGTTTCTTCCTGTTTACAGAGTTTTCGTGACTTAAACAAACACAAATATGATTTTATATTCAGCCATTTGTAACCTGAGCTCGTTGATTGGATCATTTGAATCAGACCGTTGGAGCAAATTTGTAACCTCTCCTTCGACTGACTGTGCTTCATGATAATCCGTACTGGGAAAGTCCCACGCGTGAGCGCATTGCCTGTTATAATCACTGTTGTATCGCTATGCAATAAGTGGTAAGACACTTAAATTATGCCACATAAAATCGTCTTTCATTATCATTCACTTCGATTCAATGTTGTCTTTGCAGTAGCAATACTTGGCAATATCCGGATATTTGTCAGATATACACTTAGGTTGGCTGCCATACATATTGATACGACTAATATCCTGGCTCACATCATAACGCTGTTCTCCGTTGTTGACGTGGTCCATTCGGATTGTCCCCTCAAACAAAGCATGGCCTGGTATCGTTTCGATGGTTACCTGGTAGTCAATGTTCATATCATTGATGTTCACGTTAGCATGTTCACCAAATCCAGGGAGTGATTGGTCATCGTCAATACTTCCGGTATATCTCAGTACCTGAAATGACAACAGTAAGAATGTCTTCGTCGCCAATATAGTGAAGTCTATGACTTCCAACATTGATAAAAAAATGGAACTTGATTAATACGGTAATTAGGTGTTTAACAGTGACAGCACAATATGTAAAGTATATTAGCTTGTCACTGTGAACTCTCGTTCTTCCGTGTGTGATGTGGAACATACTTAGTAATGCACGGTATATGTATTGTATTGTGATGTAACGTAATACCTCATCACTGTAAACAATATTTTTTCGTGTGTGATGTGGAACATACTTAGCAATGCACGGTATGTGTATTGTATTGTGGTGTAACGTAATACCTTGTCACTGTGAACATTACGTGTGTGATGTGGAAGATACTCAGTAATGCACGGTATGTGTATTGTATTGTGATGTGATGTAACTTAATATCTTGTCATTGTGAACATTACGTGTGTGATGTGGAACATACTTAGTAATGCACGGTATGTGTATTGTATTGTGGTGTAACGTAATACCTTGTCACTGTGAACATTACGTGTGTGATGTGGAACATACTTAGTAATGCACGGTATGTGTATTGTATTGTAATGTAACGTAATACCTCATCACTGTGAACACTATTTTTTGTGTGTGATGTGGAACATACTTAGCAATGCACGGTATGTGTATTGTATTGTGGTGTAACGTAATACCTTGTCATTGTGAACATTACGTATGTGATGTGGAACATACTTAGTAATGCACGGTATGTGTATTGTATTGTGGTGTAACGTAATACATTTAATTGTGAACATTGCGTGTGTGATGTGGAACATACTTAGTAATGCACGGTATGTGTATTGTATTGTGATGTAACGTAATACCTCATCACTGTAAACAATATTTTTTCGTGTGTGATGAGGAACATACTTAGTAATGCACGTTATATGTATTGTATTGTGATGTAACGTAATACCTCATCACTGTAAACAATATTTTTTCGTGTGTGATGTGGAACATACTTAGCAATGCACGGTATGTGTATTGTATCGTGGTGTAACGTAATACCTTGTCATTGTGAACATTACGTATGTGATGTGGAACATACTTAGTAATGCACGGTATGTGTATTGTATTGTGGTGTAACGTAATACCTTGTCATTGTGAACATTGCGTGTGTGATGTGGAACATACTTAGTAATGCACGGTATGTGTATTGTATTGTGATGTAACGTAATACCTTGTCATTGTTATGAACATTAGATTTTCGTGTGTGACGTGGAACATACTTAGCAATGCACCGTATGTGTATTGTATTGTGGTGTAACGTAATACCTTGTCATTGTGAATATTACGTATGTGATGTGAAAGATACTTAGTAATGCACGGTATGTGTATTGTATTGTGGTGTAACGTAATACCTTGTCATTGTGAACATTAGTTTTTCGTGTGTGATGTGAAAGATACTTAGTAATGCACGGTATGTGTATTGTATTGTGGTGTAACGTAATACCTTGTCATACAGTATGTGTATTGTATTGTGATGTAACGTAATACCTTGTCATTGTGAACATTATTTTTCATGTGTGATGTGGAACATACTCAGTAATGCACGGTATGCATTGCGATGTAACGTAATACCTTGTCATTGTGAACATTATTTTTCGTATGTGATGTTGAACACACTTAGTAATGCACGGTATGTGTATTGTATTGTGGTGTAACGTAATACCTTGTCATTGTGAACATTAGTTTTTCGTGTGTGATGTGAAAGATACTTAGTAATGCACGGTATGTGTATTGTATTGTGGTGTAACGTAATACCTTGTCATTGTGAACATTACGTGTGTGATGTGGAACATACTTAGTAATGCACGGTATGTGTATTGTATTGTGATGTAACGTAATACCTTGTCATTGTTGTGAACATTAGATTTTCGTGTGTGATGTGGAACATACTTAGTAATGCACGGTATGTGTATTGTATTGTGATGTAACGTAATACCTTGTCATTGTGAACATTATTTTTTCGTATGTGATGTGGAACACACTTAGTAATGCACGGTATGTGTATTGTATTGTGATGTAACGTAATACCTTGTCATTGTGAACATTGGTTTTTCGTGTGTGATGTGGAACATACTTAGTAATGCACGGTATGTGTATTGTATTGTGATGTAACGTAATACCTTGTCATTGTGAACATTATATTTTCATATGTGATGTGGAAGACACTTAGTAATGCACAGTATGTGTATTGTATTGTGATGTAACGTAATACCTTGTCATTGTGAACATTATTTTTCATGTGTGATGTGGAACATACTCAGTAATGCACGGTATGTGTATTGTATTGCGATGTAACGTAATACCTTGTCATTGTGAACATTATTTTTCGTATGTGATGTTGAACACACTTAGTAATGCACGGTATGTGTATTGTATTGTGATGTAACGTAATACCTTGTCATTGTGAACATTATTTTTTCGTATGTGATGTGGAACACACTTAGTAATGCACGGTATGTGTATTGTATTGTGATGTAACGTAATACCTTCTTGTCATTGTGAACATTGGTTTTTCGTGTGTGATGTGGAACATACTTAGTAATGCACGGTATGTGTATTGTATTGTGATGTAACGTAATACCTTGTCATTGTGAACATTATATTTTCATATGTGATGTGGAAGACACTTAGTAATGCACGGTATGTGTATTGTATTGTGATGTAACGTAATACCTTGTCATTGTGAACATTATCTTTTTCGTGTGTGATGTGGAACATACTTAGTAATGCATGGTATGTGTATTATATTGTATTGTGATGTAACGTGATACCTTGTCATTGTGAACGTTATTTTTCATGTGTGATGTGGAACATACTTAGTAATGCACGATATGTGTATTGTATTGCGATGTAACGTAATACCTTGTCATTGTGAACATTGTTTTTTTGTGTGTGATGTGGAACATACTTAGTAATACATAGTATTTACGTTGTATTACGATGTAATATATTACCTTGTCGTTGGGTACACTCATATCTCCACGTGCGATGTTGTGTATACTCAATAATGCACAATGTTCTCTGGCTAGTTCAGTTATATCGTTAACACGATTTATAAGTGCTGCAGCAGATCTGCGAATCTGTGAGTAAAGAATTTGGATAACAGTTATGTTTTAGAAATACACGTTCTTCAAAATATACATATAGATACTAATTTTAATTTACTCTCAGCTGTAATATAAATTTAGTGAATAATATGCTACATGTACAGCAGCACATAGTAATTTTTGATGCAATAATAAACCATGGAAAGATTATGTAGTTTGAATTAGTAGTGCGTACCAAAAATCAGAAGCGCATGCGTTTTAGCGAAAGCGAAAGTTACATTCCACGCGGCCGCAGGACGGTAAGAGAGGAGATTTGCACTTACACATCAAGCACGACATTGTACTAACCTCCATAGAACCAGTTGACATAGGAATCCACTTCAGACATGTGCACCAATGAGTGTCAACTCCAGCGTCTTCACAGGTGCGTGACAATGGGATCTTTTTAAATAAACTTATACCTCGTCCACTCACTGTGTCATTAGAGTAATCTAGAACATGTTTAAATGTTGCATGTATGTCGAATGGTGTGGTCAGTTTTTCAGCGTTTTCCTGTAAATGTTCATACATCTCTGGATGTGAATCTCGCAACTTCTTCGGTATGAAAACACTCATAAATGGAAGTCTTTCTTCTAGCTTCCCCTGCATTGTATTTCTGATACCGGAGTACCTCGCACCGTGGTCACCGAAGAGGAAGTGTATGGTGTTTTCTAGGTGTCCTCCCTCGTACAGCGATTTTAAGTAACGTTGTAAATCGCTGTCAGCCCAGCCCAGATTGTTGATGTTGTCATGTGATAGCTCAGTCAAAAACATGAAACCAAATTTTCTAACCCATGGATCGTATTTAGTTTGAAATTCTTTAAGGTAGTTAAACATTACATCGTGTTCTCTTCTGGCACCCTCGCATATTTTGGGGTTCACAATGCAATTGTAATCTGGGGTGAGATCGACAGACTTCAACCAATATGTTCTCATATAATGATCTGTTGGCTGCTCATTGAATCCCACGAACTGTCGATTGAAAGAGCTGATATGTGGCGAGTCCTCTGCTAGTAAGGTTACGTAACCTCTTTCTTTGTATTTCTTCCAAACAAGTGGATACACCTCTACAGATCGGGCGCCATCATGACCTTGTCGAGTTTCGGGCAAATCTTCCCACTTTTCCCCAGTTAACATTGGTATTAGGGCTTCAGAAGTAGCGTCCCCAACGATGTTATAGCCCTCAAGAACCACTGCTTCCATTATTTCAGTCAAATATCGATAAGATTTAGGCATCTGTCGAAGAAAATTCATGTGGGAAGTTGACTCTAATCCCAAAGCGATGATATTTACATCTAGCGCCGTCTTTGGCATTGGATTTGATGTCTTCGCCCAGTTCAACGCGTCATGGTTAGGTGCAATTCCTGAGTGCATTTCATAATTCACAGAGTCGAAATCATTTTCCATGGCGTCAAAGACGCACACGACGGCGACATAGTCCATGGCTATTTTGTCAATCAGAAGGAAATCCTTGCGGAAATCCGTCCCATTTTTGAATTTTGTAACTGTGGTGTTGCTAAAATACGTGATGGCATCGTCTTCACGTAGCACATAAGAGTAACTACACAAGGTTAAATTCCTACCTGCCAACACTGTGTGATTGATGTAAAGAGAGCCTGTCTCGGTGAGGTAGGTTAAATCGGCATGCCCATTTATTGACTCGCAATTTAACGGTTCTTTGACTTCAATGAGATGATTTATACTACGATGATATGGGTTTAATTCAGGAATTTGACAAACTGGTTCATTTTCAATATCCAATGAAGTATGTTGACTAGGTATGTCCCCTTTCATCGATCTGGATTTTACATTGTTTTCATTCTGTGTGTTTGCTGTTGTATCAGTCGATGATACAAGTTTTTGTACGTTTTTAAAACTATGTTCGTGTTGCTTGTCCTTCTTAATGGCATGGCTAAGCTCTCGGCTGTCATCAATGGAAATATTTTTATTTTCCACAGTTTTTCTGTTGATGACGTCATTTTCATAACGTCCACCGGGACGTCCAACATGTTGCCAATGATTTTCTTCAAATCTTCGCACCGGGGATATCACGTGGTCATTGTACGTAGTTTTGTCACAGTGACACGTACACTGCACGGGAGCCGGTGGACCCAATTGCTGCATATTAATTAATATCAACACAATTCCAATCGCAGTGATGATAACCAATAGTGGTCGAGATGACGTCATAGTGTCCCTATTCCAGTTGTATACATGAACTTAACTAGGATGCTGTTTATCTGAAAGGAATTGTTTCGGACATTTTGGTTAATTTTGGTAATATTAAATTATATATCTTCTGGTCGATATGAACATTATACTGTGTGAACATCGCCGGTTATGTTCACCGAGTACTACTTGGCTGTTGAATGAAGCACCGCCTGGTCATTGCGTAGTATTTCCCAACCGGTTTAGGTAAATAATTTTCACAGTTTGGTTGTTTTGGAAGGAATAAGGGTTTTGGAACTGGCGAAACATCCCATCATATTACCAGGGCAGTACCATCGAAAATAGTCATAGCCATTCATTCAACACTGATAACAGCAAGTAAC